GACACAAAAAAACAAATACTGTATGATTTCACCTATGAGTTATCTAGAGTGGTCAAACTCCTAGAACAGAAAGTAGAATGGTGGTTACCAGGGAATGGCGAGAAAGGGAAATAATTAGTATTTAATGGGTATGAAAAAGTTCTGATAATTGGCTGTATCACAATGTGAATAAATATATTTACACTAATGAACTAGATACTTATAAATGGTTAAGATGGTACATTTTATGCTATATGTAATTTACCACAATTAAAAAAAAAAGATAGCACTACTCTGATAGGCTAATGGTGAGGAAGTGTTAAGTACAGTATATTCACATTGTTGTATAACCAATTTCCAGAACTTTTTCCTACCCATTAAATCCAAACTGTCCATTCCCCCTTAACATACATAAAGCACTAAGCGCAGAACCCAGTAAGCAATATGTGTTTAATCCATACTAGTCATTTATAAAGCACCTAGGTAGTTTCAGTACCCCCCCCCCACACACACACACGACTGTGTTATTTCACTTAAAATGGTTTTATAAACACTTCTGTAACATTTGTGTGTCATCATGTTATCAGTGTAATGGCCTACAGAGAATTGTACCTCTCGCACCTTAGTTTTACTTGTGTCCGTGTGCCTATATTATTACATCAAGTGGTATGAGCATTTTTTTTTTTTATCCTCACCCGAGGACATTTTTTGATATTTTGTTCAGATAAAGTGGGAGGGGGATAGGGGGGGGAGAGAGAGAGAGAGAGAGAAAGAAACATCGACGTGAAAGGACACATCAAGTAGCTGCCACCCGCATAACCCAACCAGGGCTGGGGACAAACTGCAACTGAGGTATGTGCCCTTAGCGGGAACCGAACCCAGGTCTCTAGGGACTGCAGGTCGATGCTCTAACCACTGAGCAAAACCGGCCAGGGCGAGCAGTGTTTTTTGTTGTTTTTTTTAATATAATGTGGGAATGAGTGACTCGAAATGTTAAAGGCTGAATGTTTAGGAAAGGGTAATGTTACACAACAAGAGTTATGCCAGCATGCAAATTCTCCACCAACTGCTCAGCATTCAAATGTTTAAGGAAAAAAAAAAGCCAATACACTTTCATAGAAGCGATGTCCAGATTAAGATCTGATTAAAACCAAGGCATGCTGGACTCTCAATGCCCTACAGTGAAAAATACTACTGGTCCTATCTGTTGGGGCATTTTCTTTTTTCCTTTTTTGATTTTAGAGAGACAGGAAGTGAGAGGGAGAGAGATAGAAACATTGATGAGAGAGAACATCGATTGGCTGCCTCCTATATGCCTCCCACTGGGGATCTGGCCCACAACCTGGGCATGTGCCCTGACCGGGAATCGAACTGGCGACCTCTTGGTGCATGGGGTCGATGCTCAACCACTGAGCCACACCAGCTGGACTGTTGGGGCATTTTAAACGAATATAATCAGGGATTTCCTACTCAAAAGAAGAAAATCACTGAACTAAGATACCTTTGAAAAATTACAGGGTTTACCTTCTAACCTTCTGGCCTGAAAAAAAGAGATGACCCAAAGAGCCTCTACAGAGAACGACCTCAGAGAATCTGGAATGTCCTATGATCGCTAGCCTCCAGGAAGTGGGAACCGGGAGAAATTCACTTCTCTTCTCTGAGTTTCCACTTTATCTTTTGTAAAATAAGAACCATTCACCTACCTGTCCAACTGTGCAAGGTGTTATGTCTGAATGAGACTGTGGATGCAAAAAACATCTTCATTTGCAATGGAATCAAAATATACTGGTGATTAATGATATTCAGAGCCACAGTCGGGAAAAGGCAGAGTGGCTGGAAGAGAAGGGGAGGCTTGCAGGAACCTATTCTGAAGACGTCCTTATAAAAGTGTGCAAAGAGAGTGTACAGCGAGGCTCACTGCAGCATTATTTATAACTTTTAAAAGTAGTAGTATATGAAATAAAATGTGGTACATCAATATAACAATACAATGTAGTTAATAAAAAGGAGATAACTGATAAACAAGAAAGGAAGGATATATCAACTGGTGTTATGGGGTAGCTGGCAGAACAAAAACCAGTAGTGATTAAAGGCAGTACACTTCAACTTCCAGTTCAATGAGATAATGGCAGGAACAAAAAATACAGAAGAGACAACAGTGGATGAAAGATGCCAAGACACCTGGGAGATGCAAAGCAAGCGGAGAAGTTTGTAGGTCGAGAAAGCAAGCGGAGGTAGACACCAATGAGAAAAGTTCAAAGCCCCCAAACCTGAAAAAGCTCAGAACTCAGAGACATGAGGAACCAGAGCCTCCAGACCTGGATGCAGTCGGAAGTGGGGAGAGGAGCCCGGCTGAAAGCACAGCACACAGGCAGTGACCCTGCAGCCTCCTTCCCCCGCTTGGCTCTGAAACAGTGGCACTGGGTAAAGTCCTTCTCCCAGGAGTGATTTTTCTCTGGAGAAACTGAAGAGCCTAGAGAAAGTCTCCTACTGGGTACAGACATTTGGGGGTTCCCCACCAAAATGTTTAAGTTTCTGTTTAGTGATTATGCCGTGAAGTCCACCAGCTGACAAACTCTGTCCAGCACAAAGAATTTGATCAACCTTTTTGTGCTGCATATATAAATACAAACAAATTACAAAGGCTCCACAGATAACTAAAGGATGCTTTTAACGTAAGAGACCAAATAAATAAAGAACTTGAGGGGAAATACAGATAATACAAAGAGCAAAAGAAAACGTCAAAAAAACCCAAAAACACATCAATTAATATCCTCAGAGAGATAAAAGAAGATATTACATATAAAAACAAGATGCTACTAAAACAAGGACAACTGGAAATACAGAATACAAGACCTGAAACAAAATTCAATAGCAGAACCAGAAGATCAAGTTTAGGAACTCTCCTTGAAGGAAGAACACAAAAAACAAAGAGAAAACAAGAAAATTAAGAGGATGAGTCCAGGAGTCCAACATCTAAAAATGGCAGGGGTTCCAGAAAGAGAAGAGAGAAAACAGAGGGAAGGAAACGATCACAGAAATACTTCAAGCGAACATCTCAGAACGAGACTATTCATTGTGAGAGCACTAAAGATAAAGGAAAGGATCCTAAAGATTTCAAGAGTCAAACACTGGTCCTATACAAAGGACTAAGAATCTAGACCAGAGCAGGAGGGGACAGAGGGCTGCGACAACGACGTCTCACAATCCAGACCTGTATTTGTACATCCTATTTGTCTTCAGTGAACAATAATTAAGCACAACACTACGGATTTCACCGACAACTGTGATACACATATACTGGGAGAATGGAGGGAGTGGGGCGTGAAGCAGTATGAGAATGCTAATTTAAATTCTCGTCTTCCACAGACGATGTCAGTAAAAGACCTAAGCTGATAAACCACTAAAGAGCACTATAAACCTACATTTAGAAATGGAGATAACTATAAAGAGAGAAAATGAAAATATTTGGGAAGTAAACTCCAGGTTGGAGCAGGAGAATGCTTTTGTGTCAAAAGCCCTGCAGTATTCTTGACTTTTTAAAACTATGTTCACAAATTACTTTACTCAACAAAAAATAATTTTAAAAAACCATACAACTATTTACTTCTAGAGAGAGAGACTACATGAGAGACTGGGGTGAGGACCTCCCACCCCAATTCTGTCCCCTTCTGTACCACTAGAAATTCTTTTAAAATCATATATGGATTTTAGCCCGGCCAGTGTGGCTCAGTGGTTGAGCATAGACCCATGCACCAAGAGGTCGCCGGTTCGATTCCCAGTCAGGGCACATGCCCAGGTTGTGAGCCAAATCCCTGGGGGGGCAGGTTCTCTCTCATCAGTGTTTCTATCTCTCTCTCCCTTCCTCTCTAAAATCAGTAAAAAATAAATTTAAAAAAATCACATACAGATTTTATAATTTAAGAAAGGGAAACATTACATAGATGAATATATTGTCTCTGTCTATGGAAAGACAATAAAAACCAAGCAGAAAGGAACCGATTTAAGAAATTGGAAGAAGAGAATCTCTAAGATTTAATGACTTAACCAATGTGTTTAATTACATGGAACAGAATGCTTCAGTTGTGTATATAAACATAAGAAAAATGATAAAACTAACCTATGGAAATCTATCTTCAAGATACAGGATGACTTGATAAGGGACAGGTTCAAACTGGGACGTGCAGAAGTCCCGGATAATTTCAAGTATGTATGTGATCATCTTCTGGGAGTGCGGTTAATTATTATGATTTTGCTCAGCTTACAAACCAAGGCGGCAGTTACTTATTTTTTGTCTATTAACTGCCAATGGTTAAAAAAATGCTTATTTTTTATCACTGATGTCATATTCCTTAAAGGTCTCAATCAAATTTCCTCTTAAAAGAGACTCAAACTTTGTTTTAAAAGATGGACGTTACTGGTTAAATACCTGGCATTACAGGCCTGGCCAGTCTGGCTCAGCAGTTAGAGCGTGGGCCTGCAGACCGGAGAGTCCCGGGTCTGGTCCCGCTAAGGGCTCGGACCTCGGTCGCACTTTGTCCCGGCGGCCTGGTTGGGGTCGTGTGGGTGGCGACCACTCATGTGATGTTTCTCTCCCTCCCTGCCTCTCTCCACTCTATCTGAGGATACATGCAAAAACGTCCTCGGGTGAGGATAAAATAAATAAATACTTAGCATTACAGTATTTATTTCTAAACCAAATGTGAACCTCGACAGATCCCACTCACTTCCCAGGTGAGTTGGTCCTGGAACCCTAGGGCTCTCCAGATGGAGCAGGCCCTCGAGGAAGCGCGCCTGCCCACCCGGACACGCTGGCTGCGCCCTCACTGACCTGCGAGCGCAGCCCAGGGTGTAATTAACTCAACAGGGCTGCTGACAGGTGATTCCAGCTGCTCAGCCCTGCTCCTCCCGCAGACAAGGCGGCCTTCGCAGGCGGTTCCGCGGCTCTGAACGCCGGGAGCCGGAGGCGGGGCAGGAGAGGCAGCACCTGCGCCCAGCCCAGGTCGCGCGACCACATTTACCTTCACGCGTCTGCGTTTTCGCCCCTTCTCTTCCCCTGGAACCTGCTTCTCGCCCTTCTTCCTCTTTTTCCGCTTTCTGTCCTTGTGCTTGTCATGGTCGTTCTTGTCTTCGAAGAGGCTGGAGTCGTGCCCCGAGCTGCCGGTGGAGAGCTCGGTGACTTCGCTGCCCCCCACCTTGAGGACCAGCTTCAGGGGCTTCTCGACATACTCTTGAGAGACAGGGAAAGAGGCTCGATTATTGAGGGGCCGGCGGGCCGGCGGGGCGCGGCCACGGTGCAGTGGCCGCTGGGCGCGCAGGGGCCGAGGGGAAGCCCGGCGGCGCTGGGCACGCAGTGGGCGGCCCCGAGGCACCTGTTGAATGACGGGCACTCGCCGAGCGGGAGCCCCGAACGCCGCCAGGGGTCCCGGGTGCAGCCGCCGCGCCGGCGGGCCGCGCCCCCTTCGCGGGTGGGCCGCCCGAGGGCGGTGCAGCCCCGGCCCGCCACGGGCGCTCGAGCGGGGGTCGAAGGCGCGAAAAGCCCCCCGAGCGGCCGCGGGCTCGCCCCCCCGCCCACTCCTTACCCTCGTAGAGGTGTTTGTCCGACTTGTGCTTCTTGTGCTTCTTGCCCATGTCCGACCGGGCCCCGGTGCCCGCCCCCCGCGCCAGGCCCAGGCCGTGCGCCGCCGCTTCCGGTCCGGGCCAGGCGAGCGGAGGGCGGGAGCGGGGCCCGCGAGAGCCTGCGCCGCGAGGCAGGGGGGCGGCGTGCGCCGGGCGGCGCGAGGCTCCTCACGAGAAGACGGCGGGCGGGCGGGCGAGCGAGACGCAGCCGGAGCACGAAAGCAGCGGCGGGTTCGGCGAGCAGCCAGCGCGGAGGCGGGAGAGAGGGCCCGCCGCGCACGCGGGGTGCAGCCGGCTGCGCGTGGCGGCCCCTGGCGGCTGGAGGTGGCGCTCCAGCCTCGGGCCGGGGGCGTGGCCTGGGCGGGGGGCGTGGCCCGGGCCGGGGGCGGGCCCACTGCTCTGAATCTCTCCTTTCTTCTCTGTCTTTCTCCCTCCCATCCTTTCCCTCCTCTTTCCGTCTTCCCTCCTTACTTCTCTCACTGTCTTTCTCCTTTCCCCTTCTCTCCTTTCTCTGTCTCCCTCTCTGTTGCCTCCCTCTTTCTCTCCCTCCCTCCAAGTCTATTTCTGTCTTTCTCTCTTCATCTTTTTCTTCCTCTTTCTCTCTCTTTTTACCCCCTTTCTCTTTCCTCCTCCCTCTCTCTTTCCCTTTTCTCCCTCCCTCTTCTCTTCCACCCTTCCCCCTTTCTTCCTTTTCCTTTTCTTTTCCCTTTCTCCTTTCCTGACTCCTCCCTCCCATCCACTTTCCCTTGCTTCTGTCCTCCCTTTGACAATATTTGTTGAGCCCTGTACTGGATGCCAGATCCAGCAAACCCAGCACACTGGTAGCTGAGGGGTTCTAATCTTAAAAACAAACACCTTATGTGCTGATATGTAAAGGCCTCTGAGTACAGGGCAAAGCTTGGTTTCAGCCTGGGCTGTAACTCTTTTTGCTCTAAGGAGAACTGCTATGCCAACTTCCCCGTGGGTCTGGCCTCCACAGTGGCATGCCTTACTCCAGGCCAAACCCATGACTTGACCTGTCTGCTCCCAATTATCCACTCGGCTCCCCAAGGGCAGGGTCTGGTCTTGTTGCCTTGGTATCCACAGCACCCAGCACAGTGACCACCACTGTGCAAATGCCCTTCAGAGCTAGTTTTATTCTGTGTGTGTGTGTTTTTTCTCTCTTCCCTCTGACAACCCTGGGATGGAGGGAAGGGTCTGGTTAACACATTCACACTACAGAGTGAGGAATTTCCCTCCTCCCCTCCACAGAGGTCCTATGTAGTTCCCCAAGTGTTCACAGCTGGGAGAAAATGAGTAAGAGCATGAAGCAGAAAACACTTTGCACAAAAACTTCCTGGGAGATAGAAACCTTAACTCATCTAATTTTTTATTCCCAGCTTCAGGACAGTGTCCGACACATAAGAGGCACCAGAAAATGCTAGTTGAACTGAACCACACTGTGTCAGTCAGACTCTAAAATGACCCCTAAAGATTCCTGCCTCCTGGTAGTCATGTCTCCATCTGAGTGTAGACTGACCTAGAGACTTGCTCCGAACCAACAGAATGTGGCAAAGGTGGTGAGAGGTCACTTTTGTGATTCGGTGACGTAAGAGTGTAACTTCCGTCTTGCTGGCCAACTCGATTGCCTTCTTGGCTTGCATGCTTCTATGGTGCAAGTGGTCACGTCGGACAGGCCCAGCGGCAAGGAACTAGGGCAGCCTCCAGCCAAGCTGGACTCAGCGCAGTCCCTCCAGAAATATTTGTTGGATGAATGAATGAATAATTGTTACTGTTTTGCAATGATGATTCCTTCTCTCCCGCGGGTCTTTTTGGTTGGAGACAGGAGACAAGAGTGACCGGTGTCCACCAGGGGAGGAAAAGGGGAAGGAGGAAGAGGAAGAGGAGGAAGAAGAGGAGGAGAGAGGCACTGAGGAAGGCTGGCCACTGGGGGGTGTGGCATTCCCAGGAAATGGCCTCTGCTTGGCTGCTCAGGCTCTGGCCTCTCAGGAAGGACCTGTTGCTCCTGGAGGCAGGGGCCGGCCAGGCTCCCAGCTCAGCTGGGCCTGCAGACCTCCTGCTCCAATGGCGAGGGGGCTCTGGGACACAGCTGATGTGCGGGACCTAGGGGTACAGTGCGGCTTCCCTGGATTGGGCAGTTCTGGAAGAGCCGGTGGGGACCCTTTATAGGTATCCCCTCATGGCTGACAGATCAAAGAGGCTTACTGGGAGCTGACCCCATGATTCAGACAGATCAAAGCCGTGAACATCAGGTGCTTCCGAGACACTCACCTCTGCCCTTCTGTGTTCCGCAGAGCCCCTCATGCAGCAGTGAGGCTGGGAGAGCCACCCAAAGCCAGTTGTTCTAGGGCTACGTCCTTCTGCTCCTGTCTTTGTCTGAACCTCAGTCTTTCCCTCTGAATAATGGGTAGAACCAGCCCTGCGTAGCTTGTGTGGTTGGCACAAGGGTCAGGGAAGTGGGGAGTGGAAAGGCTTCTTGCCCAAGTGTGAAAAAACAGAAAGGAAGTAGGAAAGGGCCATCTCCCTGGGTACTCTGGGGGCACCCTGCCCTCTGTCCCCAGGGGAAGGGGAATTAAGTGGCATTTTCTGAGCCCAGGCCCCTAGTGCCTGTAACAGATGCCCCAGTTTGGCAGCATGGACTGGCCAACCTGGCACCGGCCTGTTAGTGCTGCTGGGAGAGGCCCCTGTGGGGCTGAGGCTGGTTCACAACGCAGCTCTTGGGGATGCAGTGGTCTGAGCTGATTCGCTGTGACAGGCTGTTGACAACGCGGCTTCCAGGGTTGCTCACGGTCACAGGCGGAGCTGCCCCAGCTTCCTACCTCAGCGTGAACAAAAGAGGCAGCAGATGGCAGCTGTCCATGTGGGGATCTAGGCTGCCTCTACCCTTATGGCCTCGAAGCTGCTTGCTGGAGGGCAGGGAGTCCAGCCTCAGTGCCCGTTGCTGGCAACCTCGAAAGTTATTTAGACTCAGATTCTGCCATGACAAAGATAAAGCTGAAGCCTTGATCTAATAGGAAAATGAAAACACAAGGACCTCCCTCCCTCCCTTCATCCAGTTTTGTTGAGTGCCTGCTATTGTGCCAGGTGCTGTGCTAGGTGCTGGAACACAGTGGGAGCAAAATAGACACGGTCCTCTCCTTATGGAGTTTACAGTCTGGTGAGGAGACACATATTAAACAGGTGATTGCACAGATAATTATTTAATTACAGTTGTACTAATTGTTATGAAGGAAAACAACAGGGTACTGTTACAATAGGACTCTGAGCCATCCTGGGGGTTCAGGCAAAGCCCCCTGAGGAAGCCATATTGGCCTGGAGGATGAATCTTAGGTTGGGTATCCTAGAAGCAGAACCTTGTAGGCTGATGGGAATCTGTTCCACTTATCCATGTCCAGTATATAGGAAAATGATTAGCATTTGTGTATTAACCTTGTATCCTGCAACCTTGCTGTAATCATTTATTAGTCCCAGGTTTTTGTCGATTTTTTCAGATTTTTTACATAGACGATCATGCAATCTGTGAACAAAGACAGTTTCTTCCTTCTTAATATGTATTTACTTTCCTTGTCTTATTGCATTGTCTAGAACTTCAAGTATTGTATTAAAAAACAGCGGTAAGAAGGGACATCCTTGCCTTGTACTTGATCTTAGAGGGAAAACTTCAAGTTTTTCACTGTTAGCTGGAAGTTTTTTGTAGATATTCTTTTTTTTTTTTTTTATCCTCACCTGAGGACATTTTTCCATTTTTTGTTCAGGTAGAGTGGGAGAGAGAGGAACAGAGAAAGAGAGAGAAACATTGATGTGAAAGGGACACATCAAGTGGCTGCCACTGCATGACCAACCTGGGCCAGGGACAAACTGCAACCGAGGTATGCACCCTTAGCGGGAACTGAACCCTGGTCTCTCTAGACCTGAGGCCGATGTTCTAACCGCTGAGCCAAACTGGCCAGGGCTTGTAGATATTCTTAATCAAGATGAGGATGTTCCTCTCTATTTCTAGCTTTTGAGAGATATATTAAAATCGTGAATGGGTGTTGGATTTCGTCAAATGCTTTTTTATATTTATTGATGTGATCATGTGATTTTTCTTCTTTAGACTGTTGATGTGAAAGACTTCATTAATTGATTTTGAATGTTCAACTAGCTTTGCATGCCCAGGATAAATCTCACTTGTTCATGGTGTATAATTATTTTACACATTACTAGATTCTATTTGCTATATCTTGTTGAGAATTTTTATATCTATGTTCATGAGAAATGTTGGTCTGTAGTGTTTTTTTCTTGTGTAATGTTGTATCTGTTTTTTTGTACGGGGGCAATGTTGGCTTCATAGAATGAATTAGAGAGTATTTTCTCTGTTTCCATTTTCTGAAAGAGGTTGTAGAAAATTGGTTTAACTAAGTTTTTAAAAATTAATTTTTTATTTTTCAATTGTAGTTGATGTATAATATTATATTTGGTGTAACTTCTTTAAATATTTGGTAGATTTTACCAGTGAACCTGTCTGGCTTGGTGCTTTCTGTTTTGAAAGTTTATTAATTGCTGATTTACTTTCTTTAATAGATATAGGTCTGTTCAGATGATCTACTTATTCTTGTGTGAATTTGGCTAATTGTGCTTTTCAAGACATTTGTCCATTTAATCTAGATTATCAAATTTGTGGGCATAGAGTTATTCATAGTGTTCCTTTATTATAGTTTAATGTCCACAGGATCTGTAATGATGTCTCCTTTCTCATATATATTAGTAATAGTACTTTTCCTTAGGCCTGGCTAGAGGCTTATTGATTTTCTTGTTCTTTAAAAAAACGGCTTTTGATTTCATTGATTTTCTCTATCAATTTTCTATATAATCAATTTTTATACCTTGGAAATAAATACATTAGAATTTTGACCTGTGTTGATTATAAAAAGTAAATGTTAAAACTTTTAACTTAAAAGATAAAATATATTTGCTCTACAAGATACAGCTTTTATTTCTTACACATAAGAGCTCTGCTTAAGACTTCATTTGAAATGAGTTGCAAAAAGAATCTTTGAAAATC